GTTTTTCTGCCAAGGAGACAGGACGACTGATCCGTGTTAAGGACAGAATAAATGGGGCCATGTATCGTGAGATTTTGAGCCAAAACCTCCTTCCATCAGTGAGAACTTTGAAGATGAAACGAGGCTGGGTCTTCCAACATGACAATGATCCAAAACACACCGCCCGGGCAACAAAGGAGTGGCTCCGTAAGAAGCATTTGAAAGTCCTGGAGTGGCCTAGCCAGTCTCCAGACCTCAACCCCATAGAAAATCTGTGGCGGGAGTTGAAAGTCAGTGTTGCTCGGCGACAGCCCCAAAACATCACTGCTCTCGAGAAGATCTGCATGGGGGAATGGGCCAAAATACCAACTACTGTGTGTGCAAACCTGGTAAAGACCTATAGTAAACGTTTGACCTCTGTTATTGCCAACAAAGGTTATGTTACAAAGTATTGAGTTGTATTTTTGTTATTGTCCAAATACTTATTTTCCACCCTGATTTACGAATAAATTCTTTACAAATCCTACCATGTGGATTCATGGATTTTTTTTTTCACATTCTGTCTCTCACAGTTGAAGTGTACCTCTGGTGCAAATTACTGACCTCTGTCATCATTTTAGGTGGGGGAACTTGCACAATCGGTGGCTGACTAAATACTTTTTTGCCCCACTGTATGAAGGTTAATATATGGTTCAAATATGCTGCTGCTTCCTGGTGGATGCTCTTCCGCTACAAAAACAGCCAATCAGTATGCCTCTGCGGATTGGAGAACAGCACGATAAGCCATCCCTCTGGCTCATCCTCTTAAGTTAGTACAAGATAACTATTCTGCTGTATAATCGAAATATAGATATAATTCAGGTAATGTGGGATAACTACATCTGAGTCACCTTACCAGTCTCAGAACACAGCACAATAGCATTCATCTTAGCTTAATGACTAACAAACATATGTAAGATTTATGAAAGCAAAAATGATCAATTTAGATAGCTGAACTTAAAAATCTGTGTGTCAATGATTAGCATTTATTCACGTTTTCATATGTGTATTTTGTAAAATTGTCTTTTGTTTTTCAAATTGCTTTGGATTTAGATTTGAGCACACATTTTTGACTACTCCAAAATACAAATTGTACCATTTTGCAAATCTTAGTTTACACTTGTGGAACATAGAGCATTCATTTGAGAATAATTTCACTCCATGGAAAATTACCTCTCATGTGTTTACCTTTGTGTCTGGATCCTTGATCTCAACATGCATCCCAAGACCAGGGGTGGATGGAAGGAAGGAGCCGGTTTGTTTGTCCCACAATTGAGTCCTGTACTTTCCTTTTAAATAAAAAAAAAAAAAAAAAGCAAACATACCATCAATGGATCATGTAATCATTCACTTCTGCACTGCTAACACAGCCAGTAAAGTGTGTTTATATTAAACATACTGTTGAAAATACTATCATAACACTGAACAAGGGTATTTACACAAGATGTACAGGGTCAGGACATAAAAACACATTGAATGGTAAAGCATAAAAAGCAAAATGTAAGTAAGTAAACACAGTTTATTTTTCTTTTTTTTATTTCAAATATTTGATGCATTAAAGTGTAAATGTACAACAGTTCTCAGTGGATCTGTAGTTTTAACAGCCTTTAACATTTATGCATGTTTGGGTATAAAGGCAGATTTCACTTTTAGAAATGCTGGAATTCAGTTTTCTGACGTTCTAAAAAGCATTCATGAAAATAGCGGAGTCAGCTTAAGATCTTAAAAATGCAAGTGGAACAATCTCTACATCCTGACAATATGCATATTTCTGTTCATGTCAGGCAAAAAATTGTTTTTAAACACAAAATTCACAAGCTAGTAAATGTATCTGTGTACAGAGGCCTAAATTGGAGTTTCTAAACTCAAAACACCACTGCTGCAGTTAGTAAAATCACTGCTGGCAGAGTGTTGAGAGCAAGACCAAAAATATTAAACTGTAAGGGCCAAAACACTCAGTAGAGTTAACGGAGTGTAGCATTATAGAGTCACCTTTTTTTTCTTTTTGGTTTTTTTTACACCTAATTAAAGCAGCATTAAAAAAAAACCAACTCATTTCTGAGATCAATTTAAGAATGTTTTAGTATTCTGAGGGCAGCTGAACCCTTACACACATCCTAAAAATGCATAAATACATAAAATGCAAAGATGTGACACATATAAAAGCCCTGTAAGGTAAGTACAATTTTGTGGATACTGTTCCTAAAATTGGTTTAAAAAAAATACTGTCATATATTAGGTGCATCACCATCATTCTGTTCAGATTTCTAGTAATATGAATATTGTTACCCAATGTGAAAAAGAAATTGAGTTTCGACAATTTTTAAATAAAAAAGTCTTGGTGAAAGCGTGTCATTTAAATCTATTACACCATAAAACTACAGTAAAGATCCATATGCTTAAAATGTACCGAATCAAGTGTACTGTGAAGGTTACTTGCCACAAATAGATCTGCGGGGAGCAGTGCCAATGCATTCATCCGAGTGAAGGTAAAGCTAAACCTTCTAGATGTGGACAAATTATGAATTCAAGGCTGGCACAAATATTTACAATACTATTTCGGCAATACTTGACACTAATATGGGTTGTTTATATATATATTTATACGTATGTTAACCCGTCCAGTTTTACCACGTACAACTCCAACTATGCTAGCTTCAGGTGTAAAATACTGTTTAGCTAACTAAGATTAGAAACTCACTTTAACATATTTTTTAAGTATAAAGAGACAAACCGATTGCCTCTTTAGTAGGCCAAAACTTGACAGTTTGCTGCTTAAACACTTTTAACCGGTGTGAACACCGTGAAGAAGTCTTCGTGTGGTCCCCGTTGTCATTTCCAACGCAGCATCTCTGCTGCAGCCAGCTGTTAGCGTGTACTGTTAGTTAGCTAGGTTATGCTAACAATCGAATAGTCCTTACCAATAACCATGGTCTCATCCGGAATTTCTTCAATGAAACATTTTTTCTCCGTCTCCCCTATGTGAAAATAAAGGCTGTCACTTGGATAAATCCAAGCTAGTAATAAAATAACTCCAGCAGCCGGGAAAGACAGCATCTTGTGGCCTCTTTCACTTGGGCGCATCAGCACAGGAAGTTGTAAAGCCGCTGCGGCTACCTGACGTTTCTCTCTCGGTGAAAAAAGGAAGGGGATTTCCTAGTGTAAGGAGGTGCCCTGAGTTTAACCTCTCAGGCACGACTTTCTTCCACGCTCGTCCACGATTCACCCCGTGAATAAGTTTTATATTTTAGTGCACAGACCTTTTAAATAAATTCAATAAATAGATCTAAAAATCCTAATCCTTAATCCTAACAGAAACCCACTGTATTATGAAAAAGAAAAACATATTAGTAGTGACCGAAGCCTCATCTTACCAGTCACTTTGTGGAGCATTGGACTGCCACTACCTCATAAGACTTTGTGTTACACTATCTCATACCGTACATTAC